TTACAAAACTCAGTATATCAACACTTGTTCATCAAAAGGTGTGTCTCTGCTCTCTATGAATTTCTGACTCCGCAGTAGCGTTGCATATGTATTATATAAAAAGAATTAGCATCCATTAAAATGGAGCAATCCATTAAAAATGCTCAGTTGCTGTGAATAACGCAGTGAAGCAACGATTTCCCCAGTAGGAATTCTCTCAAAATACTCCAAGAGCTTACCATTTTCCAAATCCTCATTATCTTCTAAAAGTCATGACTCTTACTGAATATCTGTCTCAAGGTATCTGAGATTAGTACAGGTCATCTCACATTTCTGTCTTACAAAGACAGCTGCCTGGCATATTTTGAAGACAAGCTGCTTTGATATTAACACCTTATTCTGTACAATGCTGTGCACAGTAGTTGTTAAGAAATACCAAAATTTCTCCCATTGTTCAGAAGAAAAAATTAACATAGATTAAAAGTAAGGTCCTAGATATTTCATAAACATCATAATTCACCAGAACAATACAGCGAAGGCTTCTACTTCTCCATTATAAGATGGACAGTACGATCACCACCATTCTGCTCAGGGGAAGAGAGCTCTTCTGGCCAGTGGGGCAACCTGTGCTGATCCAACACAGGACTTTACATCACTGGCTTATGCCAGTCTCATCTGCTAAAATGAGAAATGATGGTGACACGCATTCACTTCTGCCACCCTGGCACAGAGGTTATAATGTCCACAAAGAGGAAAAAGAAGCAAGTGCAGTAAAATCTCAGTCCACAGCAGTTTTCTTGGGCACGTGGAAGCAGAGCACTAAGGTTTCTGCTTTGCTCCACCAAATAACGTACAGAGTATTTATGTTTTTGAAAGACACATAATTTGCATGCAATGCTTAATGGTAGACAGGTGTTCTTTCTCTCATCATTAATTTGAAGCAAAGCAGAAGACTATTGGAAATATTTTTAAGATACCGTCAAATGAGTAAGGTTCTCCTAAAGGTTCGGAGTATTCTGTACGCACTGCTTAATTTTAACTAATTGCTAATTCACATTAATAAGACACCAAATGAGGACAAACATTAATAGATTATGATTCAACTGGACAAGGCCAAGAAATACAAAATGGAAGCTGATTTTCATTCTTCCTTTTACACCACTAGGGGACAAGGAAAAATAAACAAGATACAGTACACAGACCTTCTTAGTAGATCCAAATTTGTATTTCCTATTTAAGAATAAAGCGGTATATTTTATAAGAACTGTAAAAGCAAAGTTGTATTGGTAATTAAACTAAATTTAATTAAATTAAGCCTCGGCTTTATAACTTTGTATGGTAGGTTAAGCAGAAGACATTTATTAACCTAATATTAAAGAACAAAGTACAACCTCTGTATATGAATAACCATACCCAGGAATAATAATAACCATAAACATTTTGTCAAATTCAGCAGCAGGAAACTTCAGATTTTAACCAGTTCAAAAGATCATTAGCTTAGTTCTTATCTCCACATTTATCATGCCAACATTTATATTATAAATCAACAGCTGCAACCTAAAGTTGAAAACATGCCAGAAATATGCATAGGTTGTATCAATATTTGCACATGGAGACTAGAACATAAACTAGTTGACACTCAACACTTAAAGCTTCCTCTCTGAAGTTGCAATATTTAAAGGTTAAAGATTAGACATGCTCCCTCTTGTGTTAAACCAAGAATACAGGGAATACATGCTGTTTTCTCTGACATGATGGTTGCTTGGCCATCTGTTCCAGTAAGCAAACCCTTTAACTTTGGCTACTAATGTCTGACAAACCTTCACCAATAATTCTCCAGTTTAAAGACAGATATAGTCTGAGCACGTAACCTGCATCCATAGAATATTTGTGTTACATTAAATCAGCTACTGTATTATCAGAAAGCAACATTAAGGGATTACATACAAAAAATCTGTTGCAAGTAAGTTTTTTTGACAAATACACATATGACTTGGTAAATTACATGGAAAGTCACACTTCTTCAGTCCCACTAAGCATCACAGGCCTAAGGAGTTAAAGTATGCCAACTTCAAGCTGTTCAGTAACATCAATGATATGGAATATTGAACAGCAAATTTCCATCTAAATATTAGCTTAGAGAATATTTAAGACAGACAGGAACAACAGGAAGAATTCACAATGCCACATAATTACATTTGTAAATACAGCAACAATCGAGCTAAGTTTTCAGTCCTCCACCTGACAAGCTCAGGTGAACCATTCCCTGCACAGAGCCTTAATGGAGTCAAAATCCTCCTTACACAAATCCTCTTGCAGAATCCAGCCCCAAGATCCTGTCTAGACATGAATGTTAATCCCAGGTGTAACTAACACAAATGTTTTTACTAATATAGTTTTTAAACAAAGGCTTTGCACCTGGTGTGGGCTTGGCAAATTACATTTAGGCATACATTTGCTGATTATGGTCAGTACCAGACTGAATGCCAGGGCAGCTGACAGTAAACACAAGTAAATAGTTTGCAGTCCAAAGCTGAAGAGAATCTAATGCTCGACTACATGACTTCACACATTTTCTTTTGTTTACCACCAGCCCTTTGTGGTGGATAGAAGATGCTCTCAGTGCAACGGGGCCTATGCACATTGAAAATAAATAATGTTACCGAGTATCCTAAGAAACACACTTGTTAAATATGACTTGCTCTTTCAAACCATGAAAGTTGAATGTGTTTTATCTTCCTGGAAATATTTGTGTTTATTTTTCTACAGTCTTCTGCAGACCAGAAATAATATAACCACACAGTTTAGGAAAGACAGCAAAAAACACCATGATTATTAATGGATACAGGTTTTGGGGTGTCTTTAAAGCCTCAAACCACAACAGCACACTACCTGAAACAATGGCAAGCACCTGCATGGAGAAACACAACTTTTGCCACCAACTTCAACAACAGAAGAAAGTTTGTATCACTGCACATACAGCTCCTGATCAGTGTGTTTCCACTTTCTTACTGTTATGCTGCAGACCTAATAGCTTCAAGGTCTGGCAAAGTGCCTTCCGTCTCACTCGCTAAGGTGTTCAAATCCCAGTGAGAAGCTTCATGTAGGGTACTAAAAGAGGACACATGTCATGATTGAATCTCAAGACACTGCCCTCTACATATTATCAAGAAAATAGCTTTTATGTCAATAGCCAGAGGATTAATAGTATCCAAGAGTGGTTTTATTCCCTCAGACACACAAGTAGAGGCAGTCTGCAGGATCGGGTCCCTTTTTATATGGAAACATTCACATACACTCGGCAGAGGAATTATTGCTCATTTAAACCAGTGCTTTTCACCTTACGGCCCACCAGCTCCCATGGACCACTCTCAGGGACTGAACAGAGGTAAGGAAGACAAGCAAGACAAGCAAGCCTTTTGAGCACGGCGTTACACCGGCCAGAGATCCACAACTCCCTCCACATACAGCTGGGAGCCCGCAAACCCAACCAACAAA